CTTTTGCACGTCGCACTTTTCAGTTTTTATTTGTAAAAAATGTTTTGATTCATGTAAAATTTTGCTTCCACTTCACAATTGTATACCACTTTGTGTTGGTCTTTCACATTAAATTCCAGTGAAATATATTTATGTTTGTGGTTGTAATGTGACAAAATATGGAAAAGTTCAAGGGGTATGAATACTTTTGCAAACCACTGTATGTGGAGTGGAGTTCCCATTTCTCCACATCAAGTCAGTCTCTGGCCTCTTTCATTGCACGAGCTGCTGTATGTTGAGTTTCATTCTCTGGTCCAAATCCATAATACGTATACTCCCTTCATTGATCAAAGCATTTTTTGATACCTACCTCCTCATCATTTAGGTCCATGGGGTACAGGCTGCCAGTCCGTCACAGGGTTTGATGCACTCAGGGGCCCCGGGGACGAACATCCAGCAATTAAAGCCAAGCAAGATCTGTCACCTTTGAATTAGTTTATTTTTCTGTATACATACAGAACCCAGTGACATAAATATTAAAAGAATATCAAAAGCAAATGTAACACATTGTGCCTCCTGTTTAACAAAAATATTTTTTGACATCTTGGCACATTTTAAACCAATTTTAATTTTTATTAACTTAGGTTAGTCTTCAACTCCTTGCAGTTTTAAGTGTCTTGGGTGTTCATAGAAATGGCTTTTACCAGCCAAGATTCTGACATTTCTGTAGATACCACATGTCTAACTAAAAGAACTTATAGTGATTAAAGTAGAAAACCAAGAGCATGGGTTTTAGAGAGTTAAATGGCCCTGGTGTAAAATCTTGAAAGTTTGAGGCCTGGGATACTGATATTCACCACTGATCATGGACACTGATGGAACTAATGATCCTGATTCAACAACAAAATTCTGTGATGTTTAAAGACATAATCATTTGCAAATCAGATTTTTATTTTTATTTCACAAATGGAGATGTAGTTGTGATAAATGTGTTGCAAAAGAAGAAACAGGGGAGGAGGATCAGTCTGCAGCACTGGAAATATTCTGGAAAGTCGAGGTGCAACACCTGGCTGAAGACATGGGGTTTGCATGTTCTCCCTGCCTGGCTTTCATCGGATACTCCGGTTTTTATCCCACAGACCAAAATCTGGCATGTTAGGTTCTAAATTATTCCCAAGGGTCAATGGTTCAAAAAAAGTTGAATTAAATTCCCTTTTTTAAATTAATTAATTTATTTTCATTTTTCTACCCGCATTATTGCGATGCATCAGCACATTGTGAATGGTTGTCTTCATGAGGTCCTGCAGTGCACGGGTGACCTGTCACAAGTGTACACCATTGTTAGTCCTGTGACTGCACAGAAAAGTGGGTAAAAATATGGATGGACACAGCTGTCATAGACCCAGCAGTTTAATTAACAAAAAACAACAATAAGTTACCTTTTTTTTTCTCTTAGTAAAAACAAAAAAATATTAATGACAAGACAGAAAAGTTAAAGGCCCACAATGACTAAATCTGCCTCTACTGCGGCTGCAGTTTAACTGAGATAATGTTTACCCTTTTGTGTTAAAATTACAATTTCAAAGTTAAAATAAAATGTATTCTTAACATTTTATTTTCTCTAAGAAAAGGCAAATGAAAAGGATCCTGGCTTTGAAAGGCTGTCAGACTCAAAGCACTGAATGAAATGACTCTGACAATACCTGACAATAATCCTGAAATCCTTCCACTGTGGATTACCAGGCGGATTTGTCCCTAAGAACTGTCCACAAAACAAACAGACAACAGATTTATCAATTAGATCCAGGGCTTTGTGAAAGTGATGAAACAAGACAAGACAAAAAAGCCTTAATTTTCATAAACATACGGTTTTACAAGTGAATCACTCGATTTCAAGTTTTTAGTTTGAAACCAAACTATCCCAGATTTCCTCAAAGGAGAGCGGGATGTTGTGTGTTTAAGGTCAGCGCCATCTTCAGAGCAGAACTGGGTTGTGGGAAAAATCACACCTTCTGTGTCGCCAGTGCTGCCATGCAAATGTTAGGCAATTCCAGCGTCAGAAAACTGGGGGCAAAACAGCTTTCATCCATTTTATTGAGCCACAACCATCGTACTTCACCCCGGATAAACAAACAGAGCTACAATCCTCATTTGTGTCAGGAGCAATTTAACCCCCACCTCGACCTCCCCTGTGGAGGCTGCAGAATAGCAGCGGTGACCAGAGAACACGACCCTGGATCCGTTAAAGCAGCCTGAGCCGACACAGGAGCTCAGCCCCCCCACGCCACTATCAAAAAGCACTTACAAATCACTTGTGTTCACAGAAAGACGAGGAGTTTTCCAGGGTGTACCCAACCCTTGGTGACCCTCCAGTTGACTTCAGCGTGTGGTTGGTTTTTAAAGCTGTTTTAGTTTTTACTATTTTTAAAAGAAATTTATGGCCTAGGATATGAATATATTTATAATGCTTTCTTTACAAGGTTAAAGAAGCAAATCTAAAACAAAAACCAGCTCAAGTTTGAAAATTTCGAGGAAAAAACACTTTCAGTACTATAAAATATGACGATGATAATAATGGAAACAAAACTGATTAAGTTAATTCATAATCAAAAAAGTCTTATTTTTCATTTCCTTTATAATTCCTTTATAATCCTTTAGTTTTTAACAAAAAAAAACTATTAGACTGAAACTGTCACTGCCAATGAATCACTTTATCTGATGGGAAACTGAGGTTGATTGTTTGGGATGAGTCGAGAATCTTCAGGTCTTTATCAAACCTTTAACATGAGTCATTCTACCTCACCAAAAGGCTAAGAATGGACAATAATGTTTTTATTCTTTGAGTGTGTTAGCAAAAATATCTCCACCCCGGGAGTAATGATAAATTCAAGATGACTACTGCAGCTTAAAAAGCACAAAACTGTAATGTCATTCGTTTTACAGATAAAACGTGATGCTGTAGTTGAGACTGATCCCCAGCACAGACTCTGAACACCAACAGACTTTGTTGAAAGTTTTACCGTCAACTATTTAGAATCATCTAAGTGTTAGCATAATATCACACAATGGATTTTATCAAAACTTTCACAATATAAAGCCTGAACGGAAAGTACCTCTACAAGTGACAACATTTTAGAGCCAGTCAGTTTCAAAAGGGCCACCAAAACCAACTACATGTAAACATGTGAGTTTTACAGGTTGAGCTCTGACGTGAAAGATGGAGGGAGAAATGTTTTCCGTTGTTCAATAAATGAGCCAAAATACATTTCGCAAGCTTTTGTCCTGTCAGCTCCGTGGTCCAGTTTCAGGCCTGTGAATGCAGTTCTCTGTCACCCTGCTGAGCCCAGCGGCAGACAACTGTCCAACAATAAATCATACAGTAGGTTTACTTTGGCTAATCTTAATACTTTAGACAGCAGTAAAAGCACAGTCTAAAAGTACAAGGTTCAATTAGTAAAAGGTGGCTTTCGGTAAATCACAATTTCTTTGCTGCAATATCATGATGTAAACATGAAAACTGGACAAACAAAATAAGAAACAAACTCAAACGTGAACCGTCCAAACAGAAGAACAGAATTTCAAATGACTCCATCATTTTTGCTTTATTTTTTTTTAGATTAAATATGTTTAGGGTAATGCTCAGTTCTATAAATACAGAGGGGAAAAAACAGTTTGTAAATGATGTGCAGCTTCCAAGAAACAACTGGGGCAGTGAACAAAAGCCAGCAGTCGGACCGTGCAGGCTGGATAATTGAAATGCAAACAAGTGATCAAAGCGCAGCTCCTGCTCGACACTTTCATTGTTTATGAACACGCCTGTTGACTTTTCCAATTAGAGCTGTAAACTTTTGTTTGTCCGTGCATTTCCAAGACTGACTGTCGGTCTGATCCGAACAATCACCAGCTAAATGTATTTGCCAGCTCGAGCTGAGGACCCCTCTTTCTCTGCTGCTCTAAAAGAGATCAAAAGGGAGCCCTCCTGCACACACAAAACCACACCCACAACCCCCATTTCAATAC